GACGAAGCAATGCTAGGTTCATACTGGGAATTGGTGTCATCTGGTACCTAGGAAAATAGCAACCTGCAAATAAATGAAGCAAGCTTGGGTAATAATGAGATGTTAATACATGTAAATAGGCACCCCACTGTAAACCGATATGATTCTCATCAACCCTTAAAAGCCTAAGTGAAAAATCAGACTTTCTTTTTTTCTCTCTTGGCATTGAGAATCTCATATTGTCAGTGATGTTCAGGGGCTGTGAAAATTCTGCCCATGGTTTTAGTTTAATTTTGGCTTTGTCTGTGATGTCTCCAGGACATCTGGAGTTTCCATGAATTTTGATGTGTCAGTTAAACCCCTGAAGTTAACAGTTTAGTGCATTAGGAAACAAAGAAAAATAAACTGCTGTTACCAAGCACCAGAGGTCCAGTTTTATAGGAAGACAGAACCATTTAGATGCAGTCAGGCAATGTGCAGGTTTCAGTGACAGAGAGAAAGGTCTGTAGCAGCAGAAGTGATGTTAGTTTATCAGTCTCCAAAGCTGTCTGTCCTAAGTGGCTTATATATCAATGAGAGAAACGGTCCAGAAAAATAACGATGTCAAAGAGATGATTTTAAGGAAACATAGAAGACAGGAGCAGGAGGATGCCATTCTGTCCCTCGAGCCTGCTCCGCCATTCTTCACAATCATAGATGATCATCCAACTCAATAGCCTAATCCTGCTTTCTCTCCATAACCTTTGATCCCATTCGCCCCAAGTGCTGTATCTAGTCGCCTCTTGAATACATTCAATGTTTTGACATCAACTACTTCCTAGGGTAGTGAATTCCACTGGATCACCACTGTTTGGGTGAAGAAATATCTCCTCGTCTCTGTCCTAAATCGTCTACCCCGAATCCTCACACTGTGATCCCTGGCTCTGGACACACCCACTGTCAGGAATATCCTCCTTCATCTAGCCTGTTCAGTCCTGTTAGAATTTATGAGATCCCCCCTCATTCGTCTGAACTCCAGTGAAAACAATCCTAACCTAATTAATCTCTCTTCATACGTCAGATCCGCTATCCCTGGAATCAGGTCTGGTAAACCTTTGTTGCACTCCCTCGAGAGCAAGAGCACCCTTCCTCAGAAAAGGAGACCAAAACTGCACACAATATTCTAGTATGGTCTCACCACCATCCCTGCTCCTGTACTCGAAACCTCTCTGAAGGCCAACATACCATTTGCATTCTTTACCACCTGCATGTTTACCTTCAACGACTGGTGCACAAGGACGCCCAGGTCCGCTGCACACTCCCCTCTCCCAATTTACAGTAGTAGTAAGTTTGCAAGTAGTAATCTGCCTTCTTGTTTTTGCTTCCAATGTGAATAATTTCACATGTATCCCAATTATACTGCATCTGCCATTGATTTGCCCACTCACCCAATCTGTCCAGATCATGCTGAAGGATCTCTGCATCCTCGTCACAGTTCAACCTCCCACCCAACTTGGTATCATCTGCAAACTTGGAGATGTTATATTTTGTTCCCTCATCCAAATACTCATTCAATAATAATTGAGCTGCAGCGGCATGTTTAACGGTCTCTGGGAGGATATTAGCTAAAGAAATTGATAATAAACCAATTATAGCCATGCTACTTAACCAAGGAGCTTTCAGGTTTCTCACTTCAAATTACCATCTTGCTCTCCTGCTAACATTACTATCTTAGAATCCCGATGCAAGCTGGAGAAACTGCAGCTCATTTTCGACTTAGGCACGTTAGAGCTTTCAGGGCAACATTGAGTTTAACACTTCAAAGTATGGACACTGTCTTTCATTTTTATTGCACCTCCTTCCCTCTCTCAATGTCTTGTTTGCATATATTGACTCTCAGCAGAGCTGACCTATTTTCCACTATTCACACTTATCATTAACTCCTTTCCTTTTACTACAATTAACACTCCCTTTGTATTTTGCTCTGGGCACAGTGATTATCTGCTCAATTTGCTCCTCCTCCCACTTTGTGAACAGCATAAAAACAACCATTTTCCAGCCTCCTTCAGTTCTAAAGACAAGCAGTATTGGACTTAAAACGTGAACATGGTTTTTCCTCTCTCCACAGATGCTGCCAGACCAGTTGAGTCTCTCCAGCACTTTTTTTGCAACTTTAGTTTTAAAATAGAGACAGAGTGACCCTACACTGCGGTATGAGAGTCTTTAAGGTTGTCTTTGAGGATAACAGATTGAAACCTTATTTCTGATATTTGTAATTAGACTGCTTCAAATAGTTACTATTTAATATAACGTATGTGTTTTCCTTTATGTCAACAGTCACTTGTGAATCTGTTTAGAGACAGGTTCAGTCAAATACATGAGTGACCACCAAGAGAGGTAGGCAGGTAGTGCAGGAGTCTCCTGTGGCTATTCCTGTCTCTAACAGGTATACCATTTTGGATACTGTTGGGGATGATAGCCTCTCAGGGGAGTATAACAGCAATAGCCAGGCCTGTGGTGCCACAAATGGCTCTGCAATAGAGCAGGAACAGGCAAGATCCAAGTGAGTGGTAGTGGACAGAGATGCGCAAGTTATGTGCATAGATAGGCATTTATGTGGCCACCTTTGAGACTCCAGGAAGATATGTTGCCTCCCCGGTGCCAGGGTTAAGGAAGTCTCTGAGTGGTTGCGTGAAATTCTTAAGGGGGAGGGTGAGCAGCAAGAGATCGTGGTGCACATTGGTACCAATGACATAGGTAGAAACAGGGATGAGGCCCTGTAGAGCTAGTACAGGGAGCTAGGAAAGAAGCTGAAAAGCAGGACATTGAGGGTAGTAATCTCTGGGTTACTGCCAGTGCCACATGCTAGTGAGGCATGGAATAGAAACAAAGGACAGATGAATACGTGGCTAAGGAGCTAGTGCTGGGGACAGGGTTTCAGGTTCTTGGATCATTGGGACCTCCTCTGGGACAGGGGTGACCTGTACAAGAGGGATGGGTTGGACCTAAACTGGACTGGAATCAATAACTAGGGAGGAAGTCGAGCCACTCAAGGATAAAGGAGGGAACTTGTACTTAGAGGCAGAGGATGTGGGTGAGATCCTAAATGAGTACTTTGCATCGGTATTCATCCTGGAGAAGGATAGGGAGGATACTAAGATTTGTGTGCAGCATGCTAATATGCTAGGGCATTTTGAGATCAAGAAAGAAGTGGTGTTGGATCTCTTGAAGAGCCATAAGGTGGATACGTCTGCAGGGCCCAATGGTATCTACCCCAGGTTACGGACAGAGGCAAGAGAGGAGATTGCTGGGGCCTTGACCGAGGTCTTTGTATCCTCACTCGCAACTGGAGAGGTCCCAGAGGACTGGCCAATAGCTAACGTTGTTCCTCTGTTCAAGAAGGAAAATAGGGATAAATCCAGGAAATTATAGGCTGGTGAGTCTCACATTGGAGATTGGGAAGCTATTAGAGAGAATTCTCAGGGATAGGATTTACGCACACTTGGAAAAGCATGGCCTAATTAGGGACAGTCAGCATGGCTTTGTGCAGGGCAGATCATGTCTTACTAACTTGACTGAATTTTTCAAGGAGGTGACAAAGGTGATTGATGAGGGTGGGGCAGTGGATATTGTTACATGGAGTTTAGTAAGACTTTAGACAAGGTCCCATCATGGTAGGCTAATCCAGAAAATTAAGACACATGGGATCCACTCTGACTTGCTGCGTGCATTCAGAATTGGTTTGCCCATAGAAGACAGAAAGCAGTGGTGGAAGGGTGTTTTTCAGGCTGGAGGTCCATAACTTGTGGTGTTCCACAGGGATCCATACTGGGACCTCTGCTATTTCGGATACATATAAATGACTTCGATGAAAATGTAAATGGGAGGGTTAGTAAGTTTGCAGACAACACAAAGATCGGCAGAGTGGTGGATAGTGTAGAAGATTATCAAAAGATACAGCCAGATATAGATCAGTTGCAGATTTGGGTGGAGAAATGGCAGATGGAGTTTAATCCGGGTAAGTGCGAGGTACTGCATTTTGGGAGAGCAAATGTTAAGGAAAAGTGTACAGTTGATGGCAGGACACTGAATAGCATTGATATACAGAAGGATCTTGGGGTTCAGGTCTGTAGCTCCCTGAAAGTGGCCATGCAAGTTGATAGGGTGGTAAAGAAAGCATATGGCATGCTGCCTTTATTGGTCAGGGCATTGAGTACAAGAGTCAGGATGTCACGTTGCAGCTTTATAAGACTTTGGTTAGGCCACACTTAAGAGTATTGCGTTCAGTTCTGGTCGCCACATTACAGGAAGGATGTGGAGGTTGTGGACAGAGTGCAGAGAAGTTTACCAGGATGCTACCTGGATTGGAGGGTATGAGCTATTAGGAGAGGCTAGAAAAACTCCGATTGTTTTCTCTTGAGTGGCAGAGGCTGAGGGGAGTCTTGATAGAAGTCTGTAAAATTATGAGATGCATAGATTGGGTTAACAGTCAGAATCCTTTTCCCAGAGTTGAAATGTCTAAGACTAGGAGGCATGCATTTAAGGTGAGAGGGAGAAAGTTCAAAGGAGACGTGAGGGGCAAGTTTTTATACAGAGAGTGGTAGGAGTCTGGAACGCACTGCCAGGGTTGGTGGTGGTGGGGCAGATATGATAAGGGCATTTAAGGGACTTTTAGATAAGCACATAATATGTAAGGAATGGAGGGGTATGGACCAAGGGCAGGCAGAAGGAATTAGTTTCATTTGGTGTCATAATTGGCACCACATTGTGGGCTGAAGGGCCCATTCCTGTGCTGTACTGTTCTATGTTCTATGGACGAGTTGGACCAAAGTGTCTGTTTGCCATGCTGTACAGCTCTACGACTCTATGAGTCTATTGCGATGCTTTCTATTAGACATGGTTAAGCCATAGACAAGCCAAAAATACAACAATGAAATTAGTTGCAGACCTTTTTAAATTGCAGCTGCAAAATATTATTTTTCAACCTTTACTCTACTTGTATAACTTACACTTGGTAATGGATTTATGCTTCACTTTCCTACCTTCAAAGTGTGACAGAGTGCATGAAAGTTTTGGTGGTTTGTCTCCAGTTCATCCCAGTCCAGTTTCCAGCAGTTTGTGGGTCTAATTATAAGTGGGAGCCCATAGAATACAGATTCACAAACACCATCAGATTTCAGAGCCCTATAAAGTAAGCATTTTGATAAGCATCTCGGCCTGGAAATTTGACTGTTTGATTTTGTGTTAAAAAATGTGTGCTCAACAAAGGTTATTAGACCCCAAAATTTGACATCAAGTCAGAGAAAAGATACTAGGACAGATGCTTAAAAGCTTCATTAAAAAAAAGCTATGTTGTAAGGAATTTGTTGTAATGGGGAGGTGATGGCCTAGTGGTATTATCGCTGGACTGCTAATTCTTGAACCACTGCAGTCCTCCTACTGTGGGTTGACCCACAATGCTATTAGGGAGGGAATTCCAGGATTTTGACCCAGCGACAGCGAAGGAACGGCGATATATTTCCAAGTCAGAATGGTGAGTGGCTTGGAGGGGAACTTGGAGGTGGTGGTGTTCCCATATGTCTGATGCCCTTGTCCTTCCAGATGGAAGTGGTCGTGGGTTTGGAAGGAGCTGTCTGAGGATCTTTGATGAATTTCTGCAGTGCATTTGATAGATAGTACACTCTACACACTACTTCAGATTCACAACAATGCAGTTGACTCTTAACTGCTGTCTGGACAATTAGGGATGGGCAATAAAAATGCTGCCTAGCCAGTGATGCCTGCATCCCGTGAATGAATAAAGATGAAAAAAAAATTGTTTAAGAAAGAGAGCAACTGTGCACCAACGGTGCAAAGGGCAAGAATTGGAAGAGCGCAGAGATCTTAGAATGCCTGAGGATATCACAGAAATATTGACGGGAGTCTTCATGGTCTA